TTTGTTTATGAAAATGTTAATTTTTTTTTGGTTAATCCCGAAATTTTTAAAAATTAATAATCATTATAACGATTTAATAACAATAATTATTCAAAAACAAATTTCAGAAATAATTAAAAAAATATATTTTTTTTACAAAATAATATTGAACTAAAATTAATATTAGAATAACAATTGAAAACATAACAAACTTTTCATAATATACTTTACACTTTATTTACATTTAAAACGTTTATAGTTATTTGAGTTAATTGTTAAATTGAACTAGTTAGCGGTTATTTATTTATTGCGGTATTTATCCCTATATCAGTCTATTTATGTAAATAATAAAAATCAATGTAACATTCAATATACATTAATAACTTTCAATAAAAAATAGTTAAAAATCATTTTAAAAATTTTTTTAGTGAAGGACACGATACTGGATTACCGGGGAAATGAACCAATGAGATACCACAATGCTAAACATATAATGGGAAATTGCAATTATTTTTTAATTTTTATAAATAAAACGTTCAAAATCAACCAATATTTGCAGCCGAGACTTAGAACTAACCAATAAAACTTTAATACCATGACTTAAAGATAAAAAAAACAAAGCAACAATATCGCTGCGTTAGACACAACATTTAAAAAAAACAAAGAACAGCTATTTTTGATCCAATAATTTTACCTGCTGTAATAGTAAATGTAGTTTAAGCAGTGAAAGTAAATGGGAAACACCTGAATCAAATGAAGATGAAGAAGCTATGTTCAATTTTGAAATTGAAGATATTTTGGACTAATTTATTTAAAATGAATATTTATAAAAAATTTGTAACTAAGAATATATTTAAGAAGTATATATCAAAGCTTGTTTTGAAGCGTTAAGCTGCTGGCAATTTATGTACGAATTGCGTACGCCTAGAGCAATTTGAATGAAGTAACTTTTGAAAAAACCACTTTGACAATTATGTAAAAAAAGTTTGAATGACAATTATGTTAGATGTAAGCGCTATTTACTAATGAAAAAAAATTACAAGCGCTATTTACTAATGAAAACTACAAAAACTTAATCTCTATTAAGCTAATTATTTTATCGAACAGAAAACAAAACTGTTTATAGTAACAATTATTGTTTTGTTTTTTAATGCGAAGTTATTAAAAAAATAAAAGAAAACATAAAAGAAATATATATAATAAAAACTTTTATTTATCATCTTGAGAGGACAAGAATTGTTTGTGCAACTTTTGATTGCATTAAAAAAATTTACTTAAATTTCTATTCTATAGTAACAAATAATTTCTACTTAATTTTTTTTTTTTTTATAACGATCGATTTTTTCGCTTGAAAAACGCTAATGCTTTAAACTTGAAGCAAAGATCATTATAACGTAATTTAATTCTGATAAAAAAATAAATGATTTAATTCAAAACTAATTTAGCAAAAATATATAGTTTTATTCTGATAAAAAAAATTAATTTAATTAAGATTTAAAAAGTATATAATTAAATTTTGATTTTAAAAATATATTTAAGTTTATTTAAATGAAAGTCAATGCTTGGGTTTAACTTAACTGTCATATTTTTTTTTAATATTACTAAATATTATTCAATATTTGAATTTAATTTGTTCTTAAAAGAAAATTAGCTTATTTTTATCGCAATTGTTTTTTCAGTTTTCCCTCCAAAACATTTTTTTATTACTCAAAATTAAATTTTAAATAAATAGCTGCATCAAAAATTTGCACAAAATGTAAGTTAAATTTTTTTTTATATATGGCAAGTTAAATCACAGGGATTATTTTTTAATAAATGTTTTTTGGAAAAATAATCTTTGCTTTCACAAAAAATCGCTTATAAAATAATAAACTTTTAATAAATAAAAGTAGATAAATTAACGTAATTTTTTTATGTTACTTGCTAATTTTTTTAAAATGAAAAATCTTTTTTAGTTATTTTTATATCAAATTTAATTATTTAATATAAAAAAAAATAAAAGAAATAAACATTTTGTATTAATAAAAAACGAGTTAAACAATATTTAACTTGTTTTGCGGTAATCTTAATATTATTGCAGTAATTTGAAAAAGATAATGTCTTTAAAAAATAAAAAGATAAAAAGAATTTTATAACGTTAAATTCACGTTAAGCTGATGCATTAACCATTTGTTATTTAAAACAAGGCCTGATATATACCAGAATCTTAAAAAATCTATTTGTGCTATATCTCTTAGAAATTAAAAAATAGTTTACCTCAAATTTTAACTTACATATCACATCAACATAACACATATTTTCTCCTTATTTTCGAAAAGAATATAAAATCAATTATGAGTTTATAAAAGAGTATGATAGTAGATTGAACGGAAACGGTAGTAATAATTAAAATTTTAGTCTAAACAGTTCAAAGACAATTGTAAAAGAATGGAACTCTTTGGTTCAAGGTTTATTTAAAAAAGATTTCAATATAATTGTCACTATATCTTTATAGCTTAGAAATATAAATGTTTAATTTAATTTACAAAGCACAAGAAAAATGAGTCAACTAAAGAAGCGCAATAAAAAATGTTATATTTTATTCGATTATTTTAATAAGACAATATATTAATAATAGATCTTGCAAAATTGTGTTCATTGCAAAATTTTTAAAGCAAACGTCAAGATGCTTAAATAAAGAAATGTGATGGTTATGAAGGTTGTTTTTCTGCCATTTTATGCTTTGCTTGCAAATTATTTGTTTGACTATATCTGGAATAAATTCAAAAAATATCCAATTATACAACTGATAAAACTAAAGAATATAGAAGAATTAAGTCTGAATAAAAATCGAGCAACAAGACCAAAACAAAAACAAAATAACAAAAACTAGAGCGGACACTAATAACTCTGAGTGAAAGATAAAAACTACTGAGTAACTTCAAAAAACTATTATCTCAACTTTACAAATATCCAAATATTTGAAGTTAAATTACTAAAGTTTTTTAAAAGTTGATTTTATCATCGATTTTATATTCTCATCTTTATCATCAGAATCCCCTTATCATCTTACAACTATCTTAAAGCTGATTGGGACTCTTTCCATGATTTTCTTCATGATGGCCATTGAGTAGAAATCTTTTGCCTTCCTGTTGACAAATGTGCTTCTTAAATAACTTTGTGGATTCATACTGGCACAGAATCTATTATTCCCTCTCGACGATTCATTTATCATTTCTAAAGCGTTTGATAATGTTTGGCATGCTGGTCTTCTCCATAAACTTTCTTCTTATAATATATCTGGAAACATCTTTAAGATTATTGAACCCTTCCTTTCCAATCGTAGTATAAAAGTTGTCCTTGAGGGACAGCACTCTTCTTCTTATTCTGTAACCTCAGGGGTTCCTCAAGGTTCAATCCTTGGCCCTATACTCTTTTTAATTTACATTAACAATCTTCCAGATATTCTCATATCTAAGATGGAATTGTTCGCTGATGATACTGCCATTTTTTCTTGTTATGTTAAGAAGCTAACTCTCTCTCTGATTGCTTGGAGGGGGCATTTAAGCTTGAAAAGGATCTCACTTCTGCTACAGCATGGGGCTCATAGTGGCTGGTGAGCTTTAATTCACATAAAACTCAATTTTTTTCAGCCAATCATTATCGCAATAATTTAGACCTTCCTATATTTATGAATGGTAATGTACTCGATGAGTCTTCTGCCCTTCATCTTCTAGGATTATCTCTTACTTCCAATCTTTCTTGGAAACCATATATCAAATCCTTTGCAAAATTAGCATCTGCTAAAATTGCTTCTCTTTATCGAGCTCAACATTAATTTACTCTGGATTCTATTTTCTATCTATAAATCGCAAATTCAGCCTTGTATGGAATACTGTTGAAAATAAAGAAATTATATACTATAACAAACTAAAGGGAGAGAACTCTAAAAAAGCTTAAAATTTCTTAATACATCAAAACATCGGTAGGAATTTGTTGCACCTATGTCATGATAAAGACTTATATTATTAATGTGCTCAGGTAATTAGTCCTAATAAGCTGCGGATGGTCTGAAAACGAATTATAGTCTGAAACAACAAAAAAAAATTAATAAGCGCATCCTGCTACTCCAGAAGGTGCTGCTGTGGACGCAAAAAAATAGCCCGTAGCTACCAAAAACTTTAAAACTTTATTTAACAATTAAAAGTCTTTTTTGCCATATTTATTTTTTTGCTATAAATATATGGCCAGATTTAAAAAATTGAAAATGTATTGTGTTAAGGGGCGTATTCAAATCTTTGCAAAATGACACCAATGTCAAAGCACTAAACCACTGAGCAATCAAAACTATGCATCTAATAGAAAAATAAACCCATTTATATATCTCTTATAGGCTCTAGGTATGCAGAAAAGGTGCTTATGTTAATTTTTTTTACTCTGAAAGTAATTTTTTCAACGATATGTTCTTGTACTATTGACTAAAAAATATTGAATCAAATAAGGAATAAGTTTAGAAATAATCGGTGTGGAATTGATAAGTATAGAAATGGTTTAGTGTATAGGTTGGTTTAGTGAAGACCTGTATTTTATGGGTCTGGAGAACTAGGATTTATATATACGGAAAAAGTATAGAAAAGGTTGGTTTGGAATAAATTTACAAAGACTCCTTAAGAACAATTAACATTTAATAATTTACTACCTGACTAGACCCATAAAAATGGGTCTGGCCAGCTAGTAGGTGTTAAACGTTAATTGTTAACTAAATGCAATATTAACTAAAAGTAATATGAATAATAATATATAACTAAAAGTAATATTAATAATAATTATTGTTATTATGAATATTATTCTTCATACCAAATTAAAATATTTATTGAAATAATGTATATATAGAATAAATGGTAGAGTGAGGAGTGAGTCTATAATGTCCCATTTTACAAAAGCTGACTTTATTATAATATTAAATACACTAAAAAGTTATTTAATATTAAAATAAACTTATATTATATATTACAAATATATTATTATCTATAAAATAATACCTTTCACTACATCAATTTCTTTAAGTTCATTTATTGTTTCGAAATGTGTGTTTTTCTGTACTTCATCTTTATCTTCTACTTTCTTATCACCTAATTTTTTACTCTGGTCTTTTGATACTTTTAATGACTTCTTACATTCTGGTAATTTTTTATTATTTTCTTGTTTACAATAGTTTTTATTTGCGTTACTGGCCAACAATACTAAAAATTATTAAAAAAAAAATACAGCCCTCAGAGTTAGGAAAAATGAGGTAGGCAATATTTTGCCGACCTTAATATGTAATAGGTCGGCAAAAAAAATATACATAATCAAAAGTTTTGAAATGAAGTTCAGGTGGCCTTATTTTATTTAAAAAACTCTTTTTCTTTTAAAATTGAATGATTTGTTAACTAGAGAAACTCAATTTGATCTTCAAAATTTAACTTCAAAGCTGTAGCTAAATACCTATAGATACATCACTAAGCCATGATGCTGACATTTCAACATTAGCAAATTTCTTTAAAGCTTGATCTAAACGCATATCCTTTATCACTAAACCAATAGCTATTCCAATTTTATTAGAGTTTTGAGGTTCGTTTTGCTTCCATATAAAAACACCAAGTTTCAAGCCAGTTTTTCCTTCTATTACAGGAGAAGCAGTCACTCTGTAAGTAAAATTTACTAATAATAAACAGATTTTAATTTTTTTAACAAATACATTTTCAAAACTTATACACATTTTTTATTATATATACATATGAATATTTATCTACATAACAAAGAATAATTTGTAATTCTTAGTTAATATTGTTTAACAATCAAAACAAATCCCTGCAGCGCATACCCCTATGTTATAAAGTCTCAAATACCTATGTTATTACTACGTTAAAATATAACTGAGATTAATGAACATACGTAAGTTCTCCGTTTTTTTCTTTGATGTCAAGTTTACCATTGATGTAAAGATCATTTATTCCAAAATTGAAACTTTTCTCCAGACGTTTGTTACTGCCTTCAAATGGTTGAATTTTAAAAAAACTTGCAAGTGATTTGATTTCCATAGCTGGAATTTTAATATTAACTTCAATGTTCTGGTTTGTGTCAAAAGTAAAGTCGATACTTCCTTTCTTTGTGGCATCCACCAGAACTTCAGACTGATAAAAATAACATTTTATAAAAACTTTACTTATAAAAATTATGCTTTCTTTTATAAATAAACATCATGATTTAAATTGCTTTAAAACATAAAGCCAAACTTATTGTTGCATACATATAACATACATCAAATATACACACCATACATACAACACACACATTCATACATACAACACACACATTCTTAAAGCACACTTAATCTTTAACATAAATGATGTATATTTTTTTACCACACTGTAATGCAAGTGTTTACAAACAATACATAATTTATACATAAATAATACATAGTTTAATAATAACAAATAATAACAAATAATACATAACAAATAATAACAAATAATAAAAAGATTTAATACCTGATTTTTTACATTTAGAGTAAATTTGTCAGAGTATTTGACTTTTTATTTTTAATATTTTTTATTTTTATAATTTATATTTATATTCTTGTATACTAATTAGATCTTTATATTTTCTCTGCATCAATAAGTATGAACAACATTATGATCCACAATAATCAAAAAAAAAAAAAATTATACATACAAATAATAACACATGATATATTAGTTAAGCCAAATTTTTCTTTTACGATACTAAACACATAGACAGACCTCTCAACATAAAAGATCATTAAAAATATTTAGAAAAAACAGTTGACGTTTTATTATAAAAAATTGTAATCAAAATAACTAAAAGAATCAACTGTTGTTCATTCAAATGATAGGGTGTCCCAACCTACCCCTATATACTAAAAAAGATTTGTTCATATTCTTAAAACTTTCTATTGGTTTTCACAAGCAACTTGGTTAAAGTTTTTCAAAATTTTATTGGATTTAAAGGGGGCACAAGACCCTTAAACACTTACCTTTACCAGGTCCCTAATAATTAAATATGAATAAAAAAAGTTCTTCAAAAGTGTGTAGTGTTGGATCTCAAAAGAATTTCTTGGCTCCAAATAAGTTGAGGTTGTATAGAACTTCAACTTTGCATTTCATTATAATAAGAAAATGTCAACTATAATGATTTTTTTTGGAATTATCAAAAAAATAAACTTTTTCCATTTTTAGTTAAAAAAGTTCATTTTTCTGCAATTAACTCTAAAATAAAAACTTTTTAATAAAATGATAATTTTTTTTGAAATTTTTATATAACTTCGCTACTTTTGAAACCCAACATGACATACTTATAAAAAACTTTTTTTTATATTAGGGACCCAGTGAGTGTTCAAGGATCTTGTGCTCCCACTAAATCAAATAAAATTTTAAAAAAATTTAACAGAGTTGCTTGTGAGAACCAATAGAAAGTTTTAAGAATATGAACAAATCTTTTTTAGAATATAGGGGATGGGACACCTTAATAAACACATTTTTAAAAGCAAACAAAAATAACTTTAACATCATTAAAATTCTTCACACCTCAAATTGCGCAATTTGAGGTGTAAAGAATATTTAACAGCATAATATCAAATACAGTACCAAATTAAAATATAATATAAAATCAAATAGTCTAAATAGTCTAATAATATTTTAATAAATAACTTGTTGTTTGTTTTTTTAATTAGAAAATGCTATTAAGAAATCATAAACCTTTATATGACATTTTTAATAACTGTAAATTTAACTTTTTAAATTTAATCATGAATTAATTTAACTTAGTCATTATTGCAAACAATTAATTCATAACTTTGTGCACTAGCTTAAACAATTAAATTAACAATGACCAAAGAAAAACTTATTTTTGAAAAAAAATTTGTTTAGACATGCTTATATTACATTTTAATTACACTATTAAAATGCCCAACAAAGAAAAAAAAAGATACCGCCAAAATTTCATAAGACTTGATTGAACACAAAAACTTAAAGATTAATTTTAATTGTCAATATTATTTGACATTAAATTGGAAATGATGCAGATAAAATATACATATAAAAAATATATAAATATACATATAAAATTCAATATAACAAATGTTGTAACAAAGACATGGTTTGATTATCTTATTTCAGGCAATTAATTAATCTTAATACATAATAAAGAATTTTATTATTAATTTGATTTAAATATTTTGATTGCAACTCTACTGATGAACTTAACAATAAAGTAAATTTAAAAACTAAAATAAAAATTTCTGTGAGTGTTTTTTTATTTGCTGTTTTTAATTTTTAACTTTAATTATTAGAATTAAAACTGCTTGAAGTTATTTTATTAGGAACATTAATTTGACATTAGAAGTTTTATTTTTAAAAATATTGTTGATAATGAAATACTTTATAAAATAATAATAAAGATTATTAAAATATAATATTTAGTAAAGTTTTTTTAATAAAGTTTTATTAATAAGAACTTGTATTATATAGGGTGTAATGTATAATATACTGCTATACATTTATATATATATATATATATATATATATATATATATATATATATATATATATATATATATATATATATATATATATATATATATATATATATATATATATATATATATTATATATATATATATATATATATATATATATATATATATATATATATATATATATATATATATATATATATATATATATATATATATATATATATATATATATATATATATATATATATATATATATATATATAATTATTATTATATAACTATTATAGTTAACTAAAGACTTCAAAAGTTGTAAGTTGTATATAAAAGAAAAACATGAAAAGGGGTAAGAGTTATAAGGTCTTTTTGATGTGCAATAAAAAAAACTGGATTAATATTATTATTTACAATCTAATATCGAAAATAGGTTTTCTGAATTAAAAATTCTAAAATTTCAAGATCTTGTAAAGCTTTATAATTGTCTCTTTGTGTATGATTTTCTTCAAAATTAACTACCAAATTCATTCAATAAACTTTTTATTAAAACAAGTGACACACAAACATTGCACTCAAAATACTGAAAATTTTAACTTGTACACTTCCTTTTTTAACACTATCAAATATGGTAAGCTCTCTATAAATCATCAATGTATTTCTCACTGAAACCAAATAATACCATTTATAAAAAAAAATATTTTAACTAAATACCCTTTTATTACCAACATATTTCTTCTCAATCGAAACCAAATTAAAAAATTTTTATTTGAGTATATATTAAATGAATATTAATTTTATCTTTTATTATTATTGCTTTTTTATATTACTGTATTTATAAAACTATTATTACTTTTATTTTATACTGTCTTTTTGCTTTTTTCTGTTTGCTATTTATTTAGATGCTGGCAATCAATATCCTTTCATTTTTATATAAACTTTAGAATTTTCTGTGGTGTAGTGTTTGCCAAAAGAAAATATTATCAGATGATGATGGTGAAGATGGTAATGATGATCATGGTGATCATGTTGATCATAATGAAGTTTATATATGCATATATATACAAAATATAACAAACACCACCATTATCCACAAAATTCATCTATGACCTTGCAAAAGATCTTACATAACAAAGATCTTGCAAACTATTTTGAACAGCATAACAAAAAGAGTGGCAAAAATTAATACTTAATAAAAATGGTTTTTTCAAAAATAGGAAAAAAAATTCAGTCTCATTAAAAATTCTTTTTAATGAAAAAATATGGTTGCAGAACTTAAAAAACTCTTGAAATATTATTATACAAAAATAAAAATTATCATCATCATCATCTTCATTATCATCATCATCATCTTCATTTACAAATTAACTTATTAAACTTACAATAACTTCAGAATGACCTTTAAAAATCCATGGTTCTTCCTCTCCAGTTTTATCACTTTTCTTTTTACTAATTGCTAATGTTGGATTTGATATTTTCAAGCCAAGAAATGAAACATCTATATCACCATCGTATGAAACAGTCATTTTGAACTCCTTCTTTACTAAAAAACATAAGTATACAACAATGAGTGTTTTATAAATAATGCAATTTTCATATATATATATATATATATATATATATATATATATATATATATATATATATATATATATATATATATATATATATATATATATATATATATATATATATATATATATATATATATATATATATATATATATATATATATATATATATATATATATATATATATATATATATATATATATATATATATATATATATATATATATATATATATATATATATATATATATATATATATATATATGAAACAGTCATTTTGAACTCCTTATTTATTAAAAAACATAAGTATAAAACAATGAGTGTTTTATAAATAATGCAATTTTCATATACACACACACACACATATATATATATATATATATATATATATATATATATATATATATATATATATATATATATATATATATATATATATATATATATATATATATATATATATATACACACATATACATATATATATATATACATATATATATATATACATATATATATATACATACACATATATATATATATATATATATATATATATATATATATATATATATATATATATATATATATATATATATATATATATATATTAGACTGATTCATTTTGATGTCATGAAAAAATTTAAAGTACCATGGAGTCTTATCTGTTGTGCAGACCCATATTTTACTGGTAGAATTTTATTTTGAATTTGGAACACTTTTAGGGGTTGCTCAAGTGCCTCAAAAGTCATATTTTAGACTTTGGAATCTTTTTTTTAACTCATTTTCGGCACATTTGAGCAAGTTCTGAAAATCAAAAAAAAAAAATTTCTTTTAAGAGTTCCTACTCAGGTAGAAGAACCAAATAAAAATGCATGGTAATTTTATTTATGGGAAATATTATAATTAAATCTGTCTACAAAATCAAAAATTTATGCGATTTTTTCCAATTATTGTGCAATATGGTAACTTTTCAGTTAGTTGTTAAGTTTTTTGAAAGAAGCACCGCATACATGTTGCATAAAACTTTAAGCAAATTCATACAACAGACTTTTTATTAAATTATTTAAAAAAAATATTTTGTTATATTTATTCATGGCAAAAATTTGTTTCTTCTCTTCACTTCTAGCAACATCAATAATGTCCTTTATGAGCTTAACAGTTTTTATTTTCAATTCACCTTTTTATTTTAGGTGCATAGATGATACAGGAAGTCCAAATGGTCTAATCACAGAGCACCACAGAAGAACATTTAACAGGAAATTCACACCTCCTTCTTTACTGATTTAGTAAAACTTGCCTAAAGCTTTAAAACTTGTCTCTTTAGTCATAATAAATACAATTTCGTAAAGAAAAAACAAACAAGAAATACATGTTTTTCAAAATAAATTTAATTAAATATATTCTCACATGGCTAAGTAAGATAAATTTTGTGAAAAACACCTAATGAAAATTTTAAACAATAGACAATGTGACATCTGACTTTTTTGCACAAAATTTGAGTAGCTCGGAATGTCAGACATGAAAACTTTGTTTTTTCTCTAAAATATTTTCCATATGATGATAACAAATAAGTCCCTAGGGCTTTTTTTTATTTTAGAATTTATAGCATCAAACAAGCATAAAATATTTGAGGTTTTTAATATCTTTTTAAATGTTAAAATAAATACTAAACAAACATTGAAAATTATGACTAAAAATAAATAAATTTTTTTTCTAGAGTTTTATTTGTCAAAAGTCTACTGTGACGTCAAATACATAAAATTAAATGCGCTTGAAAGGCATTACTGAAGTCTGTAAATTGTGATGTATAATTTAAAGACTATGATTTTTTGAGTAAAATGGAGCAGGCGAGCTTTGACTAGAACAATAAGATTAGTTGGAATGCATTATTATTTATTTTTATCATAAAAATTTGAATCAAACTTTTTTTTTAAACATTATCTTAAATATGAACACAAGATGTGTTGGGAGTTTGGGATCCCTTTTTTTAACATTAAATGAACAAAATGAACATCAAAACAAAATTTGAAATATTAAATGTTTCTCTAAGTAACTAAATGTTTTTACTTTTTATTATCTAGATGGACCACCTTTATCTTCAACAAGTTGATTTTGCATTGATTCAACTAATTACTTTGTCATACCTGGATTGATTTGATCCCAAGCTTCTTGGAGCATGATCTTTAGCTCTTCTTTTCTTTTCAGGCATTGTGTGCCACTTTTTTGATCCAGAATGGCGCACAGGTGTTCAATTGGACTTATATAAAGATCTGGACTTTCGGCTGGCCATATAAACAACTCAATCTGCTTCTGGATAAAAAACGTTTTTGCTTTCTTTAATACATGTTTAGGGTCATTGTTTTGATAAAAGATAAATTGTTCCCAATCAAAGTTTTTCAGTTGATGCCAGAAAATTTTTATCGGGAATGTTGACATAAACCTCAGAGTCCATGATTCCTTTAATAACCTCCAACTTTCTTGATCCATTCCAAGCTGTCAATTCCCAGACCATAAAATGGCCTTCACTAAATTTTACTGTTTCTTGATTGTAATGAGTGTGAGTGCTTCAAATTTTTCTCTTTATGTTTTGATCTCTATAGTTGTCAGTCGACAAAACTTTCTTCCAGAATGATACTGACATATTTACATATGAATTTTGAAAGGAATGATTTTTTTCAGATTTTAAAAAACTTTTTAAATATTAATAAACAAAAATAAAAATTATCATCAAGAATAATTATCAAATCAAGCAGGGAATCATAGAATAATCATCCATATTGAGCAGGGAATCAGTCTATGTTAAATTCAGTATATTAGCATACTATAAATTAACTTTTTGTCAGTCATTTTGTTGTCTGCTAAAAACACCTTAAATGAATGATGTATATTTTCTAACCACTAACTGCTTGAATACAATTTTTTACTTACAACAAATAGTAAACAAAATAACTAAAAACTGTAAATTTTTCCTTGTTGTACACTAATCACGATATTTTGTAATCAATGCTAATCATTTTGTTAATTATAGGTAGTTCCTATTCATCATCTTTATTATTTTATTTCTTATTTATTGTTATATGTTATTGTATTTGATGCATATTCTTATTTATCTTGTTGCAATTTTTAAAAGATTCAAAACAAACAAAAAAATTGCCAATCATTATCTAAAGTATGGTCATTGGTAAATTTAACACTGTCCACTGCTTGGCTACCTTTGTCAAAAAGCGTTAAGAGGCTTTTTTTCTATCACTCAGACAAAATACAAGAAGTGAAAGAATACTAGATCTAAAGTTAAAGCTCACAATCTGTGATTCCAAATCAGAGAATTTTGATTTGATTGTGATTTTAAATCAAATGGTGTGAAATAACTAAAACCAAAAAGACTTATTGAGTTATAAAAATATTTTTTTGGTTTTTTCTAGCAGAACTTTTTTTTAACAAAGGAAGCAGATGTATAAAAAATGAAGAAGATAACCCCTTTTTAATAATGCAACAAGAAAAAACATGAAGCAGGAGTATGGCTGAGGTTGATGAATCTTTAGAGTTTAACTTGTTTGTTAGCAAAAAAAAAAATAAAACAATAAACTTACGACTACAAAAGTAATAACATTCTAGTCACTAACTGCATTATAAAAGAAGTAATACTATAATAGTGTTATTACTTTTATAACGCACTTTTATAATTCATTCTTTGTTCAAACAAGATAAGTAATCCTAAATTTTAATTGGAGTAGAAAAGCATCTACAAGAATAGAGTGGATACTTAAATATTATTAAAAACTTCAGGTACTTCTACAAATTTACAACTTTATAAAAATGTATTTTATGAAAAGTTTAACATTATGAAAAACGTTACTAATGGTCCGTAAAAACGCGCCTTATTTTTAAAATCAACAAATAAAACATTTTTATTGGTTGGTTTTAAAATTAATGCGCATTTTTACAGACTATTAGAAACATTTTTCATTATGCTAAACTTTTTACAAAGTACATTTTTATAAAGTTGTATATTTGTAAAAGTTCCTGAAGTTTTTAATGATATTTCAATATCCACTTTATTTTTTCGAAATGCCTTTTTACTTTAAATAAAGTTTTAAACAAAGAATTTAAAAGTTATGTGCTTTATAAAAGTAATAACACTATTATAGTTTTCTTACTTTTATAATGCAGTTAGTGACTACAGTGTTATTGGTTTTGTAGTCGTAAGTTTATTGTTTATTTTTTATAAGTATTTCGCTAACAAAGTTGATTTGCTCCTTGAAAACAAAAATCACAGCTTTGCATAAACAAAAATTTTGAAGACCAGATAATTTTCCAGATTTTCGCTTAATTCAACCCTTGTTAGAGATTGCTTGGAAAGATGCATTTTCCTTATCACAACATTCATCATAATAAAATATGAAAACCAAAATCAATTTCTATTTTGTCTTGTAGATCTGCACATAAAAAAAAAAGTCAAAAACAAAATAAACAAATATGACTTAATAAACTATTGGAGGCTGAAATACTAATAACAAAGGTGTATTGATTTGGATATACACCTGATCTGGATCTGGATTGTATTTTAAATATTTTATGCTCAATATTATATCATAATATCAGACACAAATATTTCCTAACCTCATTATAAATAATGTAACATTTATGCAAATATTTGGCTGATATTTTAACAAAGACTTCAAATAACTGGTTGCTTTCATGTGCAAGTTATTATACAATTTTAATTGATAAAGTAATAATGTTGAAAATCATGGCAACCACTGGATATATTCATTCACTTTAAATTTGGTCATAAAATCACTTATATGCAAATCAAAGAGAAATTTGAGGTAAGCATTTATATTTTACTTAAAAATTTTGAATCACCTAACTGAAGTAGCAATTCATCTAGCCAGATGAACTAGTAAAATTATTACTAGTTCTATTTATTTGATTCTAAAAGTTCTATCAATTCTATTACTAGTTCTATTTATTCTATTACTAGTTCTATTTATTCTATCATCTATTTATTTAGTTCTAAAATTATTACTAGTTCTTATTATAACTAGTAATGATTATGTATCACCATGATTGGTTGAAGTTTGGACAATTTTAAATTGAGTTTTCTCAAAAACCTCTATATCAATTGTAATAATTTTTTTTTATGATGTTTACATATTTAGTTTTTATTTTAACAAAAATAAATTATGCATTAACTTTACGATGTGCAAGTAATTTAATTTTTTGTAAAGCATCCATCATCATCTCCACAATTTTACTTTGTATCACTTTTTTTGTAGCATTAATACATAAATTTAAGAAAAATTTTATACATTAGACTCTTTTCCTCAATATTTCCTTCACAATAGCCCAGTAAGATTTGATATCTTACTGGGCCATTACAACTTTTGCCGTCTAAAAAAAAAAAAAAAAAAAAAAAGGTCCTCGTTTTTTAAAATTTACCGACTGCCATAACGACATTTGCCGACTGACTTTACCGACCAACCTATCAACAGGGTCTACATTTGCCGACTAACTTGTTAAAAAGGGTCACATTTGCCAACTAAGGGTAAAATTTGCCGACTAAAAGTCATTGATGGGAGGGTGTTACACCCCCCACACACACACCCCTATCGCGCCGGCCTTGGTTGTTTGTGCTTTTTAATTAGAGGAAGAAGTTGTTTTTTCAATCATTTAGACCCACATATTTCTGATGTGAAAGATTGATTTTTTATGAAAAGAGAACTTTTAAAACCACAACTGCTAATAGAATTTTTCAACTCAAATGTATTGAATTTTGTCAGAAGCTTTAAAACTTTTGACTAATAATAGCATTGATTAACTGGAAGCATCGAGTGATCTTTTTTACAATAAGTTTCATCGTCTTCAAAAATAGGTAAATTTTTTTTCATAATTAATTAAATCAGATTTTAAGCTTGTCTAATTGCTTTGATTTCTCCATTAAATAACCTTTTTGGAACTTTTTTCTTGTAATACACTTTCAGATTTTTCTTTTTGACCATTCTTTGAACGAAAGATCTACTGCATTTATATTAATGTGACTGAAATGGATTTTGATGAAATAAGTTGCCTATTGATTTTGCCTTCTATTTGGAAATAAATCTTTTTCCACCACTTCCCGATTTATTTTTTTTACATTTTTGTTTTCCTTATAACGTTTTATAACTTTACATGTTTGTATAACTTTACATTTTGGAACTTTACATGCTTTAGAAATCATGGAATATGAAAACGATGGATTTTCTGTGTAAAATTTCAAAATTTTTCTCAATTTTAAAACTCTTTACTTGACATTACAAAAACTAGCGAGAAGTAAACAAAACTAAACCCACTTACAGAAAAAAAAATTTTGTAAGTATGACTATAAAAAAAAAAAAAATTACAATTAATTAAGTGGTTTTTAAGAAAACTTTTAAAATCATCCAAATTTCAACTGATCATGGTGATAAACATGCATAAATTAGTATTAATTATGTAAAATATGCATAATAGTAATAATTATGTAAACATGCATAAATTAACAATAAAAGCAAAATAAAACAAATAAAAACTTACAAAAAGATAGTTCACTAATATAAAAAGAATTAGGACTTTTTGATTTTTCAAGCATCTCTGGAACAACTGCTGTCTGTACGTAAATATTCATTTCTCTTAGAAAACATGTCATTAATGTTTTCAAGTCTTGTGAAAACCCTTGAGGTAACTTTATTAAAACGCCATCAGTCTTTAATATGCTTATCTTTATTAGATGATCTTTTTTGTTATTTGACTCAGTTACTATACTTCGAGGTTTCTTTTTATCAGCACAATTTTTCAATGCAGTTTTCATATCGGTTTCAATGTAAATGTGAATACCTTAAAAAATGGTTTAAATAAATTAAATCAATTTTTAGTTCAAAATTTTTTAATTCAAAATCAATCAAATATTTAAAAAGATAGTATAAAATATAATCCCATCAAAAAAGCTTCATCTGTTTAAGATTCAAAATAAATATCTAAACATTAAACATTCAAACCACAGAAAATTTTTTTTTTGGAAACAAAACAATGAAAGTAAATTAATGTAATTTAAAAAAAAAATGTAAAGAGTTCTTTAGATTAAGGTATAAAATTAATAAGATTGATTCAAGGTAATATTTAAGTTTTATTAATCTTTTTAAACAGTAAGGAAACTATAGCTATATATAGGTAGATATTAGCTGCATAATGAAATTAAGTTGGGCCACAAAAGGAATAAAAACTATATCTTTACATTTATTAGCATCACTAAATAGATTACATCAACAAAGAGTTAGGTTGAGACAGATCACTATTTTTTTTTTATGTTTCTAAATATTTCAATGGACAATAAAAATTGGCAAAATGTATATTTTCAAACTTGAATACCAAATGGTCGATATTTTTGAAGAAGAATTAGTAACAAACATAATTAAAAATAAGATTTTGTATTTTTTTGACGAAACAAAGCAAAAATAAAACTGTTTTTTTAGCATTTTTCTATTTCTTCTTTATCATTATATATATATATATATATATATATATATATATATATATATATATATATATATATATATATATATATATATATATATATATATATATATATATATATATATATATATATATATATATATATATTTAACAATATTGATTAAACAGTTTCATACCTTCTTCTACAGAACGTTGGACTTTTCCATCTAACTTTAAAAAACTTTTAGAGTTAATCAAATCAATTTTTTGCTTTGAAATAGAAAGAGTACCACTTTGAATTAGTTCTTTGATAAAATCAGGACCATTGTAATTCAATTTAGTTTTTAAATAGTTTCTAAAAAAAGTTAATAATATTTCATTTTAAAAAACAATTGTCAATTATGAAACTATACCTAACCTTTAAAATTATATTACTTAACAAGAATCTAGTTGAATATGTAATCTAATTTTGTATTAAATACCTATCTGTAAACAAAAATTTTGAATATTTTTTTCCAAAATATAAAAGTGCACTGCAAATTCTAAGTATAAAAAATTAAAAAAATACACAATATTTGTAAGATTGTCAAATTTTGCAACTAAAGCAACAGCAACAGGCTTTCCTTTGGGTTTGTCAATAACTAAATTGACAGTTAAATCTATTACATTATCTTTATATTTTAGTTGAGCCAGAAGTTGAAAGTGATTCTTGTTAGTATCGTATAAAGCTAAAAATACAAATAAAAAAAAAATTAAACATGTAAAAATTTAAAAAGTTATTATGAAAATGCAATAGAGGTAATATTTGTTATTGAAAAAAAATGTTTTTAATTATGTATATAAAATAATTAGGTAGTAAAATAACTTAAAAAAAAAAATAATAGTGCAAGTAAAACAATAATGGCATATAAGAAATAATGATGTTATAAGAGATATAATGACAGCTGAAACAATGCAAATATAATGATAGTAAAAGATTTTGTAACTGATTCATAAAAAAGTAATACTAAAATACAAGAATACTAAAATACAAAAAAAGAAATATTTAAAAAAAAAAAAAAATTGTAATATGACCAAGGCTTTTAAAATTAAAAAAAAGAAAACAATAATTCATAATATGACACTAATAAATAATAACTTGCCTTTAAACTCTCCACTAATTTCTGAATCTTTTATATTTTCAAAAGGAAATGAGCTCAAATCAGAGGATTGCAAACCCCAAGCTATAATGAAATCTTTAACTTTTGTTTTTTTTACAACAACTGTTATATAAGCAATTGGAGTATCTAAAAAATATTTTAAAAATATATAAATTAAAAAAAAATATTTGCAAAAATAATTAACATAACAAATAATGTAAACAATAATAAAAAAAATATCCTTTAAGCTCATTAGTAATTAAATCTTTGATTATTCTATTTATTTAATTATATATATATATATATATATATATATATATATATATATATATATATATATATATATATATATATATATATATATATATTATAAATATATTTATTATATATTTATTTATATATATTTATTATATATATTTTTTTATATATATTTGTTATATATATTTTTAATAATATACATATTTTTTTGCGAGTAAAAATGTGTGACTCGTAGCAATAATAAAATAATTGTAATTTAAAAAAAATGATAATAAAAATAATTTATACTCTTGCAATTATATAAAGCTGCCTTTTTTTAAATTTTTTTATTTTAAAAAGTAATAGCATAAGACATTAACATTATTATTAACTATTTCATTAACTATGATGCTAACAGATCATTAATGTCACAGGGAACAGTGAAAATTAAAAAAAAAATTAAGCACTACACAAATCAAAGCAAAACTTAAGCACACTCTTATGTTTTTGTAAGCATACTAAACTTTTCCTAGCAACCATCTTATATAAATTTATTTAAAAGTTTAAAACACAAATTGAAAAACTTTGTCAGTTTTAAATATATTCTTTGAGAGTTCGAAATTAAATGTTAAGACAGATTATTAAAAACTTGAGTAGCTGACTGTAGTGACTAAAAGTTGAAAATTTCTTAATAAATTGAACTTTTATTTTGGAGCATTTTTTAATGCACTAAAAACAAATATATTTTATAATAATCATAACAATTCTAAATGGTTGCTAAGACTGTTCTCTGGTTGGCGTAAAAGAAGCCTAATTAGCAAAAGTTTAGATTTCTTAGATTGGAGGAAGTAGTTAAAAGAATCCATAGAAGAAAATTCTTAAATGGAGAATGGAAGAAACAAAAACTTTTTGAAAACCTATTTAAAACACAGGAAATAGAGTGAAAAGAATTCAAAGACATACTTTAAAGTCTGCTCAAACAGATTCAAAATCTTTTGAATAAAAACAAAACCTTCAAAAAAGCTCTACAAAAAATAATATTTTTCTATTCTATTATTCAACCAGCTTGTAAAACCATTAAAGCACTTTCAATGACTCAATTTAATATTAGTTAGGTGTTTCTTTCTTACAAACTTCTGATTCTAAATCATAGAAGCCATATTGATAACTTGGTGTTTCTCATGACAAACAAGGTTTGACTTGAACAAATGTTGATACTTTAGTTTTTAATTTTTTTTTTATTTTAAATTAAAAGTTGAATTTATTGCACATAAAATGTGGAGGAACCAAGAAACATCCTTTAAGAGCAAAAGCTAAACCAAGAAAAAAGCTTGTCTTTCAACAAGCCTGATGCTGAAAATAACAAATTTTTTTATTGCAAACATTTTATCAAAGTGTTATTTATTAAACTTTCTTCTATTTTCCCATTCTATTATCCAACCAGCACTTTCAATGACCTAAGTTAACATTAATTAGGTATTTCTTGTACTCCATAACTTACATAACTTTTTATTAACGATGTAATTGTTTATTTTTATATTTGTTATAGGTTTAGTACAAACTTAAGCATTATTTAACTGATGTTACTAATCTATCTTTCAAGAGCAAAAATCTTCTAAATAATTTTAGTTTTACTGTTTACAAAGTTTTAATAATTTAGTATTCTTTTTAGATTTTTAAACCACTTAATTTATTTTTTACCACTCTTCATACTCTCTGTTTGTAGATTTAACAGGTTTTCTTGTGCTGGCATTAATTTTTCTTCCGTTCATTAGCTTGTGGGCACAAAACTTGGAGTTTCTGTATTTTATTCAGAAACTATAAGAGACACTAGCTCTTTAGAGCAGTGCCTATTATAATGTTTATAGAATAGAAAAAGAGAAGAAAATTAACAAGCAGTGTATAAAAATGATTGAATCTTTACAAGATTGATTACTTTTATTAATAATCACAGTAATTTTGTATATATTTTTGGCCTCACTTAGTGGCTTTGCATTATGTCAGAAGCGTGACCAATAACCTGGGTGAAAAAAATATCATGTTAAAATGGTTGATAATCTGGATAGTGTCCCAGGAACTGTGACCTTATGAAGATTTCTGGTAAATCCTTAAAGATTATACCTATCAAAACAAATGGAAAGCTGAAAATGAAGATCAACTGTGAAAAATAATCCATTTAATTCTTGTTTCTAACATTTTTCTTTAATAAAAGTTAATAAAAATCTTGTACTATCTATGTGCAAAATTATATACAGAAAATATCAACATTAAACTTTTGTTTGTACTATTACTGCTAGTATTTATTTTGTGCCAGATTTTTCTTACTGAGGGTTATTTTTTGATCTTTTTATGACATTTTTTGTGTAAATTTGACCTCCAATTTTATTTGACAGATCAAAGTTTTAACAAAAAGTAGGAATGTGATGCCTATTAAACCAAGTATAATAACTGGAATAAAAAACTGTAAAATAAATGAAAAATACAAATAACTGTATTAAGCACTTTAAGATACAAATGGTTCAACCTGCAATAATTGCTGTTTATAACTGTATAAAGTAATTAATAATTGCTGTATATAACTGTATAAAGTAAATAAATAACTGTATTAAGCACTTTAAGATACAAATGGTTCAACCTGCAATAATTTATATCTAATACTAATATCTTAAATGTTAAATTTTATTCGTTATTAATATGATATTCTCTATTTACACACTATAACTTCCATATCTAAACCAATGGCTGAAGGTAAGGATGAACATTTGAACAATGTAGATACAAACAAACCTATTACCAGTAATAAAATATACCCCAAAATACTTAAAAAACACTTTTCATCTTTCTAATTCTAATTCAATTTTATACTAATCTTTAAAAAATTCTTCCAGTTCCAAGTCAATGAAGAGAAATAAAATTTATCTTCAAAAAAGGTAATAAACCTATGCCAGAAAACTATAGACCTATTTTCTTGACGCCTAATCTCTGTAAACTTTTAAAAATAATCTTGCGGAAAAAAACTATTGGCCACTAATAATCTGACTAATGTGCAACAACGGATTCTTAGCTAGAAAATCATGAATAAAAATTTGTTTGAAACTATCAACCATTTATAAACTTACATGAAGAACAATATTTTGCTAATACTATTTACCTCAACTTTATCAAAGTATTTGAAAATTTTCAAAGTATTTGAAAATTTCATTCTTAGAAAATAGTAAGCAAAGAGTAGTATTTAGCTAAATTGAGTCAGATTAGAAAGATGTTTTTAGTTGCACTCTATTTGGATCATATCCACTTCTATATGTCATCTTTAACAATGATTTACCCAAAAATTTAAGTAACTAATGATACTAAAGTACTAAATAAAACTAAATAAAGTACTACTTAAATCTTCAATCAAATTTAAAGCAACAACTTTGTACCAGATCTTCAAGATGACCTTATCATAGCATTTGAATAGTAAAAAAAAAATGGTTTATCAAATTTAACACTAAAAAGTGTCATGTTATGCATATATAACAAAAAATAATAATATTATAACTTGGGAAAAGTCAATATATAAGAAAACCAAGAAATACTCTTATTACTAAGCTAAACTAGATGATTTGACAGGTCAAAGAAATTAAATGTTAAAATGTTAAGAAATTTTTTAATTGCTTTGAAAGTGTTAATGTTCTTTATATAACAACAGTTCAATGATGAATGTTTTAAAGATATAATGGTAGCTGTGATTTCTTTTTTGAAACTTTTTATTGTTTTAAATGTTAATTTATCAGAGGAAGCATTGTAGTTTTTTAGAATCTGTTGTGAAATAAATTATATATGCAATCATAAAACACCTCAAAAGCAACATAAAATCAAATAAAAAGTTTTCGTCCAGGATAATTTAAATATACTTAAAAATATTCTACAGTAAGTATAACAACTGAAGTTAAAACAGCATTATAAACAGGTATATTTGTATTAATGTATACTTTTATTAGTTATGAAATTTTGAATTGAAGTTTATAAAGCTAAAAAATAGGCAAGATAATGAGTTTATATGATTTTAATAGCAAAACTGCACACCACATTAATCTGCACACTGATTAAAATTATCAAATAAAAACTGAACAGATATGACTATGTAAAAAAATAAAAATAGATTTAAATACAAACTATCTACTCTATTCGAATTGATAAAATTATATGCCAATTCAACACCATTAATTCCTTTATTTATACAACTTTAACGAGGAGTCAAAAGTTATATATATATTTTATCATTGGGAACAAAATAGCGCTTGAACCAAAACTAATTTCCATTCTGGTAGTATAAATTTTCTGCAGCTAGAACAAAAAGTTAAATCAAAAATCAAAAAAGTAAAAAAAAACTCTAATAAAACCCCACTCAATTAATTACTTAGTTTAGTTTTTCGCAAGAAACTAAGTGCCTATCTTTTTATAATTAACTTAGTGTTAATTCCGGTTTAATTGAAAATTAATTATAATGCTATTTGTCAACACAATCATCACTTATTGATTAAAAACCATTGGTTACCTTAAACACAAAAATCAATTGCACCTATTCAAAAATGACAAGCCTGGCAAGACTGGTTTTATGCCTTTATGAAGAGATGGTCAAAAGAAATTTCAACTAGTAAAGCGGATAACTTAGCATCTAAAAGAGCTGCTTATTGTACGCCAGAAAAAAATCGATCAATATTTTGTATGCGTTACCAAGTAATATCAACAGACTGGTATAACTAGTGGGTTGCATATTTGGAATTGTAAAGAAACTGGTTTTTCAAGTGATCAAGGCAAAGCAACTGTAGTGTGTCAAAAAGAGACAACTACGTGCATTTAAACTTACTGGCAATAATGAAAAAATTCATTATACTGTAAACAATTGCTGCAATGCTACCACCATTTGTGATATACAAAGCCAAAAGAAACTTTTGTCCTGTCTTGAAAAATCAGGTTGGCTGAATCATGAATGCCTTTATTGAATGCCTGAAAGAAGTATTTATACCCAAAACTGAGCAAAATGGTGGTATTCATATTTTAATATTAGATGGGCATACAATTCACATTTTTTTGGAATTTTGGAAGCAGTATTGCTGTGCAAAAAACACAATATAATCTTGATATGTCTACCAGAGCATTTTCACACATTCTACAACTATTGGAGAGAGGCATCTATTGCTATGTCAAATAAGTGTGAAAAGAAATTTTTACCAAGTATTACAAAGACTCAAAATGTAAGAATTTAAATAAACAAAATGTTTATTTAAATGCTGTACAAGAATGGTAAATGTTTTACACGCTTGCATGTAATCGCTGGTTTCAAGTGCGGTAATGGTGTAGTGGTAGAGCGCTTGCTTCATAAACGAGTGGTTCCGAGTTCGATCCCCACCACGTCCCTGGTAGTACCGCGCTCATCGTTTCTTCGCGCAGCGGCATTGTTTGTCAAGGTTTGTGTTTCGAAGTTATAGAATTGAGAGAGGGTTATAACCACAAATAAGTAGCCTCCTCATCTGTAGTAGCCTTCTCAGCCTTGAAGAGGTGAATTAAAATAAAAATAAAAAAAAGTAAACTGGTTTATTTCCACTTAATAGAAGCAACATAAATCATAGGGCATTAGCCATTACACAAATGTCTTTTCCACCATCATCAACTTTAGCAGCATCTGAAGCACACTATCTTACTCAGACACAGCTTCATCATCTTTAACAGCCGCCATAGCACCTACTACACACCGATTACCATCTTTCTCAACTAAACTAGCTTTGAGTTTTGATAGGTATCAACTATGTGTTGAGCGTTGCAAAAACAATATTGATTTTGAGTTGAAGCAACTTTTTCAAGCCAGAAATCAATCTCATATTAAGAAATCGAAACAGTAAAAAGTATAGAGTACAATTATATAGAAATGTTGCAATGTGAGAATTCGATGTGCCTGGAACAGTTGCACGAAAAAACATGTTTACCAAAAATGTAGATGGAACTGAATTTTTTTGTTGCAAAATACGTAAAAAATTCGAAATTGTTTCTTAAATGTAAGTTGTATAAAAAATAATAATATCAAAAATTTATAAAAATTTGATATTTTCTTAAGAGTGCGGTTTTATCAGAATGTCACCTAAAACACATTAATTTTTTCTTTACATTTAATATTTAATATAAGGCTGTCCCAGAAAAAAAAAATTTTTGAATTCAGCATTGTGCACTATGAAAATCCTCCTTATTTGGTCCCAGTAGACCATCATAAAAATATATGGGCTCAAAGTCAATGTTTAGCTGAAGAAGGTGTTTTAGAAAAAAACTGCATATAAATTTTAATGAGATTTTCTTATTGAAACTTTTTGAACACATTTTAAAATACAATAAATTTTTAATAAAATATCCTTGATTAGGATGTTGAAAAACAGTAGCAGTATATATTGTATACTGCTACTAGACTCATAATTTAAATAGGATACATTTAATTACTTAATTACAATTTTTACATATATGTAAAATAAGTATAAAAAAACTGTATACTTTGTGATCAATTCTCTTGTATTTTTTAGTATAGAAAATAATATTAAATATGGCTAGTCCAGGATATGTTGGAAAAGCTAATGGAAGAAGAAGTTTTTATTTGTTGGGGTACCCTCTCCAAATATTTTCTCCAAATAGACTTCCAACCGGTGGGGCAGTTTGTCGAAGAATTTACTGGATTAATCGGACTCATGCAACTGCAATCAAAACATTGTCATCCAAAATTGAATGTCCTCTAGCGAGTACAGGCAAGCTTAAATGCAGTGGTGGTATGTGTTATGCTGATAACAGAAACGAAATATCGTTTCTGTTATCAGCATAACACATACAAAAAATGTTATTATAAATAATAACGAAATGTTATTATTTTTATGTTCACTTGACTTTCTTCTGGGAGTACTTGAAGTACCCTCCTCCAAAGAAAAAGATCAAGCACTGGCTATCCAAAGTCTTGATGAATATTATGACTTAACAAACCAGATCATAGCTTGTTGTACTGACACAACTCGCTCGAACACTGGAAAGCATAATGGTGCAATTAGAAACATCGCTGTTTATTCTCTACCTTGTCCAATTCTTTGGCTAATGTGCAAGTATGATATTTTACTTTACAAAATCCAGGTATTTTTTTCTTTTTCTTTTTTCTGAGAGTAATGACAGAAAATGAGAATTTTAAATTTAGGAACCATATAAATGAACGACATATTCGTCATGTTATGGTGGAACTACAGGGAGAAACAAGAGGATCCAGTCGATCCTTATACAAGAAACATCAAGATTTATGGCCTAAGATTGAAAAAGGTGTGAATACATTGGCCAACATTGAGAAACTTGATTGAAACAGACCTGAGTTTGCTTTTGGAACCCTCTTTTACAATCTTGCAAATGAAACCATGGAGTTCTGCACAACATCTCTTAAAACAAATATTTTTGACAGAGGTGATTATAAGCATTTATGTCAACTGGTAGCTATTACCTCGGAGCAGATTTATTGAACTTCAGGTTTCTACAAACCGGTGCACATCATGAAGCAAGATTTATGGCTGATTCATTATATCTGTTAGCAATGCAAATGACCAAGAATTACAACAAGCAACTCAGTATCAATGAGATTAAAATGATACAAGATGCAACAGATTATATAGTGATCTTTCGCTGTTTATTCTTCCTGAAGAGCCCAATGGCAGCTCAGGCTCCATCCAATGACCTTAGAGCATTCAAGAATTTATCACAGAATATGATAGATCCACTTTACTCCAAAAAGTATGGAAAAATTGGCAAAGCTCTTAATCTTAGTATTCTCAGACACACTTGGTATTTTACACCACAGTGTGTTATCTTTACTTTAGCCGACCAGCGCTTAAAAGAGAAAGAGACGATGGATATTCTTGTGGAATTGTTAAAATATGATGTTTTAGAGGTGAACACTTTTGACAAAGAACGACCAGAACCTTTTACACAAGTTTTCCCCCTCTTAAAACTATCACACTTTGTTTCTCAGGAGTCTTACCTCTTTTTTTTCCATCTTAGTATAACCAAAGATGACATTCTTGCATGGAAAGAAGAAGGCATGTCAAATTTGGAGAGAAATCTCAACAATAGATCTTTTAAGACATTTATGTCCAGTGTACATCAGTTAGCAGTTGTTAATGACAGGGCTGAAAGACACATCAAATTGATACAGGATTACATTGGCAGGACACATTCCGAAGACAGGCTTCAAGACACAATGATAGTGGTTTTAGACAACCGGCGGAAGGTGTCTAAACATGCCACTAAACAAGACTTAAATAATGTATAAATAAAAAAAACACTTTATGGCTGTATTAATGTTTTTAAAATATATTTTTTCTAACAAAAGTTTAATAATTTTTGCACAAATTTTTTTTTGTATTCCATTTTGTATTTTATTTTAAAAAACATTTCAAAACAATGCAATTTTAATAAAGAATAAATTAGTTATGCATTTTTTTCAAAGTTGCAGTAACTATAGCAGTCAGAATTAATGCAATGGATGATTAATATAAAGTTAACTTGATTATTTTATAAAAATATTGAATACTATTAAAGTTTTAATAAAAAAATGTAAAAAAAACTCATTAAAATTTATATGCAGTTTTTTTCTAAAACATCTTCTTCAGCTAAACAGTGACTTTGAGCCCAAATATTTTTATGGTGGTCTACTGGGACCAAATAAGGAGGATTTGCATAGTGCACAATGTTGAATTCAATTTTTTTTTTCTGGGACACCCTAATATATATATATATATATATATATATATATATATATATATATATATATATATATATATAATATATATATATATATATATATATATAAATTTTCTTATGTAGTTTTTTTATTACTTATCTAATAAAAACAAAAAAAAAAAAAACAAAAAAAAAAAAATGAAAAATAAAAAAGCTATTCAATTTTTATTGATTGGTGTTTGGTTTGACCCGGTTTTACTCTCTGATTTGATAAAAACAGAAATATACATGTTTGGATTTGATAAAAATTATATTCATTGAATATCGATGGTTAACAGAAAAAAAATTGCATCCCAAAAATGAGATGTTAATAAAACTAAGAGCTTACAAGCTATTTTTAATACCAATCAATTTTAGAATTTTTTACAAGTTTTTGGAACTTTGTAATGATCTGAAACTTACAGGATTTTGAAAAAAAAAAATTGCAACCATTTTTACATATTTCTGCATACATATCTTTTTGTCATATCAAGGTACAGCATACATACTAATAAGGTAACATGTTTTTCTATATTTATTTTTTTGTAATTTTTTTTTAAGTTTTATTATATAAAAATTTTTTAAACTAATAGTTAAAACATCTGTTATAGTATATAAACTTATCCTTATAAAATTCTTTATACTAAAATGCAATATTTCTTAAGGTTATATATACCCTCGTTAATTAAGTAATATAAAAAAGCCATTAAAAACAAACAATTAATAAATCTTCAATGTAATGTGTTCTTGCATCTTAAATAAGAAAAATAAGACAATGTGACGCAATCACTGTTGTCTTCATTCAAACCACCATTTCTCATTTGGAGAACACTGGTTATACTGTATTTCCAAAGACTCTCTCTCTTTTCTCTTAAAATAGTCTGCCTTTACTTTAACTGTGATGTTTTTATTCCAGCCAAAGGCACCATGGTAAATTCTGGAATGCCCTGTCATGGTAGAATTTTTCCATTTTTCCTTAAAAGTATGTTTTTGATGTTGGCAAATACCTGTTGAAACCTTGCATTTTGTTTCACCTACCATAAACATTCCAGTTTGTAGACTCCAGGATAAAAGTTGTAGGGAACTTGTTTTTTTAAGTTGTTAATTATTGAAGGTTTTTTGGTGATTTAAAAACAGGAGTGTAGCCTGCATTTTTTAATATCTTTATTATTTGAATACTTAACTTTGATACACCCATGGCAGAGAAATTTAAATAAATTCTAGTTTTTTGATGTTATTATTGTTGTTTTGCTGATTCTTTTGCTTATTATTATTTTTTTTTTTTTGACATTGTTTTGAAGAATTTATTTATTATAACCATTTTCTATAAACATTTCTGTAAGAAACTTTAATTCATGATTTATATGTTCTTTACTGAATGATGCAAAAGCTTTTTAGATAAAACATTTAAATACACCATAAATTATTTTTGGATCGTGGCAAGAATGCAGCTTTATTTGCACATTTTCTTTGAATCTTTGTGATAGATATTAAAAAGATATGTTCTGGACTTGTTTTTTGTTATTGAGAGATCAAGAAAATTTATTTTGTTTAAATCACTTTCTTTTTTAATTGTATATTTGATAATTGTTTGTTGATTATTTAACTCACGAAAATATTCTGATTCTGCCTCATTATTAAAACAGGAATGGGAATAAAAACGTCAACATAACTTTTAAATTATTTTACATATATTAGTGGTGTAAGATGTTGTGTCTGTATTAATGGTTTTTTTTCATAATGTTGCAAAAAACTCATTGCCATTACTAACATTAATGATAAACCTATAGGACCAGCATCTTCTAATGTATGTATATTATTTTCAGGTAAAAATAACACTTTGACAAACACAAATCTAAAAGTATTTTTATTTCTGAAAACTTTAATTTTGAATTGAAGAAAGGATTGTTACAGAGTTGTTCTAATAAAATATTGATTGATTCTTTAACTGGTATTGAAGGGTAAAGATTAACAATATCAAAAAAAAAAATTGAAATGCAACAGGATCGATATACTATGATTGAACTTATTCAACGAATCCTTTTGAATTTCAAAGTTTTGTTTTATTAAGATTGGAGGTAGGTTGAATGAGTTTTACTAAATAATTGGATAATTTATATGTAGGTGACCTTATTGTACTTACTGCAATTCTCATTGGGTAGTTATTAGTTGGTTTGTGTGCTTTGATGACACCATATAATCATGGAAGAGTAGCGTCACTTGGATAAATTGATCTATATTCATTTTTTGTAAACTTTGTTTTCAAATTTCGTAAAGTATTCTGAACTTTGCAAAGGAGTTTATGAGTTAGATCATAGT